AGCATAACTAGAGTTTCAAATCGACTGGTTAAAGCAAACTTAAAATCTAGTGAAGAAGGAACTTTTTTAAGTTTTCTTCGGGAGTTGGACACAGTCCTAAATTCTTCAGGACAATTATCAACTAAATTTAATTCCCCTTTTAAGAGGTCAATCTCAGTTCTTGCAAGTTCCAGCTCCCTTTTCAAACTCAAGATAGTCTCCTCTTGTTTCTTTATTACCTTGGCTTGGCTTGCTTCTGTCATTACAAACAATCTTCATAACAACACTCCTTACTACACTTTTATGCACCACTATTGCCACACCTCTTTCAGCCATTCACCTCCAGAATAATACACCGTATAATCACCACTTCTTATTTCACCTTGTCCTTTCTACCACACTTCGCTGACACCTAAAAGAGACATCTCATTCTTCTGCATTTCCATTTTCAAATTCTCCAATTTGCCTGCTTGATTCAAGGTCCTTACATTTCATGTTCCAGTCTTGTAGCCGTGATGTTCCTTCTGATCTTTGCACTTTTCCTTGTCGTAACGCCTGCATGACATTTCCTCTAGAAACACTCCCCCCCCGGGAGATCCGATTGGGGGAGTAGTTTACCCCCGGATTGTTTTGTCTCCAGAGGAAATATCTTGCATACATGGTATCTCTGTTTTTGGAAAGAGACTATCCAGGAAAAGTGATAATATGGTAGTTTTTCCACCTGCTTTCCACATTGCAGTACAACAGCCGTTCAAACCGCTCTGGTCACACCTATTGCTTACAAACTTGAACCATCTTGAACATCATTTGCTCTGCTTCAAGTCGCTGCTTCTGGCATCAGTTTTTGGTCTCTCTCTTCGTCTGATGCCTACCCTTTGACCTGTCCAGCAAGGGAGGCCCTGCCAGTAGCTACGCTACCGCTGGTATAGCTCTCAGGGTCCTTGGCATACTCAAACCCCCTCACCACGATAAGGTGGAGACACCAACGAGGAGGTTTCAATACATATGGAAACATAATTAATTAAATTTGAAATAAACTATTAAAAGTGAATCACTGAACAAAGTTTTAATATGTATTAAACAAATAAAGAATATGATATAATTACGTTATTACTTTTAATGAGATTGTTGAGCTTGTCGGCCCTTACAGAATTCCTGGATATCTGGCTCAATATTTGTCAACTTCAGTCAAAGATCGGCACTCACACTAAGACGACTTCTGTATTTTGTTCTTAATTGAAGGAGCGATGACCAAACCAAGATCACAGAATTGAATTTGAAGTCCACTGTCACTTGAAAGCTCAATTAACTGTTCTTTTTCCAATAACGGAAGGTTGTTCTCATGACTGTAAGCCTGAAATTGACTGCGAACCCATAGAAGTTATTCGAAAAATATGTTTCAGATGTCTGTTTCACAATTCTGAGGTGGTCATAAACTCTTTCTAGGAACTCAGAATCAAGAGAAATATCATTTTCCACTAAAAAGGATTCCAACGTTGAAAAAGTGCAAATTATCTGTCATTTACGTAGCTAGTTTTTTCTTAAATGCCTTTATTTTGTCATAGGCATTAAGAACAGTTAAAGAATTTCCCTGAAGGCAGAGATTTAGTTCATTTAATTTAGGAGAAATGTCTGAAAGATAGGATAGTGTTAATAACCATGCTTCGTCAACAAGGAGTGATGAAAAATCAGAATTACTTTAATTTACAAACAATAAAACTTCATGTCTTAATTGAAATAACCTTGTCATTACTATACCCATGGAAAGCCAGTGAATTTCAGAATGAAGCAAAAGTTGTGTATATTCACTGCCCATTTCATTGCAGAGTATCGAAAATAACCTGTTATTTAACCATCGAGCCTTAATAAAATTAACTAGCTTTACAGAGTTGTACAGTTTTAAATTCTGGTGGCATTCCTTTGGAGCCAACGCTTCCCTATGTATGAAAGAACGTACCCAATTCATATCCGCAGCTACTTCCCTGACCTTAGAAACAACCCCACTATGGCTGCCTTAAGGGCGTGAGCTCCATTCGAACAGAAGCTTACACATTTTCACCACTGGATCCCTTTGTCTCATGTAATTATTGAGAGTGTGAAATATTTCTTCTCCAGTTGCGGTTGACAAAGTTCTAAAAAACAGAATATCGTCATTAATGTTATGTGCATATCTTATGTAGCACATCATTTGCAACATCAGTAGTCTTGTCTATATGTAACACATAATAAGTGCTTTTCTAAACTTTTTCAATTAACTGAGATTCTATGTCTCCTGCCATATCATTAATTCTGCAACCAACAGTGTCATTGAAAGAGGAATGAAATCAACATCTTTTAGTAACTTGGTACTAATAGGCCAATCAGTGGCTGCCATGCCGAGTGTACCCAGTTGGACTCCACCCCCCACTAAGCGAATTAAAAATAAAAAAACTTGTTACCAAACATAGTTTTTACCACATCTTTCATAGCTGGAATAAGTACATTTTCCCCGATAGAATGAGGTTTCCCTGTTTTAGCTATGCACAAATGTAAAGAGGTAGGGTGCTTCCAATGCCTTGCTATTAATCAAACCCATGACCAAAACTATATTTTACCCATGAATATACAGGGTCCGGCAAATCGACCTCCCGTATTTGGAGAGGGCGCTGTGTGAGTTGTGGTGGGGATACGGCGGCGGAGGGGGTATCAATTGATAGCGGTATAAGTGCCATTTGCAGTAGTCGCAATGGCGTGGCACGGTGAGCATCGTGCGTTTGTTTTGGAAGAGTATATTCGTAATGGTGAATCGGTGATTACTACTCAGCGAGCATTTCGCATTCAGTTCGAACTTGGCCGACATGATCCTGTTCCGGATAGAAAAACTATTCACGTTTGGGTATCAAACTTTAGAGCAATAGGTTCTGCACTGAAAAAGAAATCGCCTGGCCGACCTCGGACCGTAACAACGCCGGAAAATGTGGCGCGTGTGAGAGCGTCCATCCAGCAATCTCCAAAGCGTTCAGCACTTAAACATGCAGCTGCCCTAGGATTGTAAGAAGAATCCTGCACAGAAATCTACACATGCACCCATACAAAATGATGGTTACCCAAGAATTAAGTGAGAGAGATTTTGAAACTCGCAAAGCAGCGTGTGAGGACATTCTTCAGAACATTCCCTCTGGCGCTGTTTTGATTTCAACTGATGAGGCCCACTTCCACTTGTCAGGTACTGTAAATAAACAAAATTTCCGCTACTGGTCAGCAGAAAACCCTCAGGAACTTCACCAACGACCACTTCACAGCCCTCGTGTGACAGTTTGGTGTGCCGTTGCTGAATTTGGTGTGTGGGGTCCTTATTTTTTCGAGGAAAATGGGCTAACGGTAACGGTTACTTCGAATCGCTACTGTCACATGATCAAGACCTTCCTCCGACCTAAGTTAAACGTTTGTTGGGGACCATGAAGAGGGACAAGCCTGGTTCCAACAAGACGGAGCCACAGCTCACACTTCGCGGCGTTCTTTAGCAATTCTGAGAGAGTTGTTTCCTGGACGTCTTCTCTCTTTGCGAGGAGACATCGCCTGGCCCCCATTGTTCCATTGTGTGAACAATGGAGGACGCCATTTACCGGAAATAATTTTTAAAACCAAGTAATGTAAAATAGCATCGTATTTGTTGTTCACAAATAAAGAGTATTTTTTCTGTATCTTTCTTTGTTTGTAACTGCCTTTTGAAATACGGGAGGTCGATTTGCCGGACCCTGTATGTCCCTAAGCATTGCTGAAAAAGTTCAATTGGCTTATTTTTCACATCACAATATATAGATTCTAAATGTCGTCAGAGTTTTGCAGGTTTCATATACTCGTTCGACAACACTTCGTAACACAAAACACACTGATATTTCTGTTCACTTCATCATCACACCAAGTAAACCCGCATTCCAAATATGAACAGTCATATTTCCTGCTATATATTTTCTTTGGACTACTTGCTTCTTCAACTTTAATAGTATCACATTTACTCGCCACTACAACACGTGTATAACAATGAGGGTTAGCATCAACTGTTTCATTTGCTTTTCTCTTTGAAGTCCCTGTTCTAAGAAACTTTTTCATTATTAAAAATGTTTCCGAAAAATGTATAAAAACCAGGGTTAACTCACGACACACTTTGTCAAGCTATCACTTAACACTTATGAAGATATACTGAGCGTTCGCAGAAGGAGGAAAACTTTCAGTAATGAATAACTAAACAACCAATGGGTTGAGATGTGGATAACACATGTTTACTTCAAATCTAATAAAACAGCAAGGGAAAGCAGGAGCAATAAAACAATAAATGTTTTTCACTGCACCTCTCTTTTATTACCAGACTTTCTGCAGTTACCAATTATCGGCGCGGCCCCTCCTCTGAAGTTAGTGACAATGCAGTCACACCCTCATACCCAGGAAATACCGGATTCTTGCTAGTCATTGAAATTGGAAAGCTTTGTTTTTCAGTATCTACTTTATTTCAACAATTTTTTTGCTTATTTAATTTTAATTTGTTTTGTTTGGATAATTTTTAATTTAATTTAAGTCTGCTTGCGGACTACAGGTTGAGAAACGCTGCTATAGAGTATGACCTTAAGTAGGTCACAGTTACTCCTGCCGGGGGAACTTTTAATCTGAAATAGAACCATGAAGAATGAAACAAATTCTTCAGTAACTGTCCAGTGAGAAATACTGAGAATCGACATATTAACCTAAATACTCACAAGGGACATATACACATATGATGATAATTGAGTGTCTATAATCTCATGCTGCAAATTAATGATGGGGACTTAAGAAGGACACAGGTGTTTCTGATAGTAATTTTATTGTTATATGTCATTTACAACTTTTAACTTCTTTCTGGCTTTCTGTACATTCCTTTTTCTGTGTTTCATAATATGCTTTTGCAACTTTCCACTGTCCTTCAGTTCTTCATACTGTTCCACCAAATCAAGAATCCTTTTCTCAGCTAGAAGAGAATCACACCACAAATTCAGAACTGTCCTTAAACATATCAATAACTACAATATTGAATGATGTATTGTTATTATTCTACACTTACATTTTGTTGGGTATCTTGGTTTCTTCCCCTGCTGTAACATTTCTATTTGAGCTTTTCGTTGTTCTCTTCCTCTTTGTAACTTTTTCTTTTGCTGCCTTTCTTCCCTGCCTTGGTTTTCCTGTTGATTTACAAATAAGTGACATAGGTATTGAAAATTTTGTCTCTCAAGTGGCATGTTTATCTGAATTGATCAAACGAGCAGGATAGTGTAGTGGTAATGCTCTAGACGCATAATCAGGAGGTGCTTTGTTCAAACCTTGGCCAAGAAATTGTCTATCCTAACAGGAATTTTGTGGTTTTCCTCAATCTCTCCAGGTAAATGCTGCTATAGTACTTTGATTAGGCCATGGGCACTTCCTTTCAAATCCCTTCCATTCATCATTCATCTGTCATCCTGCAAATTGGTACTGTATACCCTAGCTATTCAGTGTTGTAAAATGGCCTACAAGAAATCAACTGAACATGCCTGACACTACTGCAACAAGTCTTTGTTTAAGTTTATGTGCTATGTCCTACTGGAACTGTAAACTGTATCCTAAGCATCTGTCTATAATTCATGTATATACAAAAGCATGCAGAGTTCTGTCTCCTGGGATATCATACTGTGTAGCACACTGAAGGTCAAGTGACATTTTGGAAGAACATGTCACCTTCAACAGGGTCAAAGAATGAGTCCAGTAAGAAGCACGCAGCAAGCAGAGCAATCCACCTGCTGAGAACTAGAGTTTATGTAGGAAACAGGAGGAAACTACAAGACAAATCATCAGTTTCCATCAGTGCGGTCACTCACAGAACGGAGTGAACCAATGGGAGACAAAAGACACAGATAATTAGTGTGGTCCTGGAAAGGGCTGCCAGTGCAGATCGGGCATGTGTGGGAGCCAGGCAATAAGGGTATGGTAGGCATGTGGTGGAGAATGGAGAAAAACATGAGTAGTGGATGGAGTCCAGCACAGGAAGGAAAGGCTCAGGGTTGATGTTTGCCTGAAGAAGGCAGAGAGGGTACTCCTATAAGGGCAGCATTTATGGACTTACATGGCCCCATGGACAATCCATGTATAGAATCTGCAGGGCCACATAGGTCTGAACACACTGCCCTGCTCAAGGCACCAACTCTGCCTTCCCCAAACACCCACAAGCCCTAAAGCCTCTCCTTCCTGTCCTGGCCTCCATACACCAGTGCTGTTCTTTTTATTTTCCACCACAGTATGTCCCATGCAGATGACTTCTCTCTTATCCTCCTCGGTCTTCTGCCCAGATCTGCGCTAGCAGCCCTTTTTGGAGTCCATGCTAGTTACTGCTGTCTTTCTCCTACTGGTTCACTCTGTTCTGTGAGAGAGGTAATAGGAACTGATGAGTTGTCTTGCACTCCTGTTGGCTTACTCTGATCCATGAGCAAGTCAATGGGAACCGATGACTTGTTTTGCAGTTCCAACCTCTTTCCTATATTGACCTGAGCTCTTGGCAGGTGGGTTGCTACCTGCTTCATGCTAATTTCTTGCTTGGCTTATTCTTTGACCCTGAAGATGAAGGTGACATGTCCCTCCAACACTCTGGTTAACTTTTAACAGACTACATGTTCTTACATGCCAGAAGATAGAACTCTCATAACCACTACTGTAAGAATCTCAAATCCTACATATACAAAAGCTTGTTTACAAGTCTGTCTGCTTAGTGGGCATTTTGAATGTTATACTCTTCCAGTATCCTACGTTCAACATTATTATTATTATTATTATTATTCAGCTTAACCCTTCCGCGCGGTCATTTAAATTCCGCGGCCGTCTCTCTGGCGGTAATATATTCAGTCGTCCATTTAAATTTTGCTCGAAAATGATTTATTCATCATTGTTCTTAAATTATATGAGTTAGGAACATGAAACTTTCACTAAAATGATCTTAAAAGGTGGTTTTATAACCTTACCTTATAATATGAGCGCCCTGTATCTCGGCAATGGAAGCAGGTTGTTTAGTATTTGAGCAGTGAATGGTACGCCTTGAAGGATGAAACTTTCACTAAAATGATCTTAAAAGATGGTTTTATAACCTTGCCTTATAATATGAGTGCCCGGTATCTTGGCAATGCAAGCAGGTGACGCCTTGAAGCATTCGTCTGAACACAGCGCTGGCTCACATTCACCACACAAATACTGCGGCTCTTTTTTTTAACCACACTTCTGTGCGGCCTTGCCTTCTTCCCCGTGGGGGGAATACAAGAGGAAATGTCTCTCTGTGAGTCGTATAGGTTGCCAGATTAGCTGCAGTAAATTCAACCTTTGTGTTATCATAACAAGGGGTTGGTGCTTCTGCGTTTCAGATTCCAACCATTTTGGCTGCCCCAGATGTCGTAGGGGTGACCACAGAATTCATGAAGTTATTCTAAGAACTGGCTGGTATGTAGTGAACGAAAGCAGAGCTTAGCTGACTCAAAAAAAATATTTATGGTCATCCCTCGAAACGACCACCAAGGTCAGTACGATAAAATGGCGTCAACTGGAGCGATAATACATGAAGGAATGAGTTCTTTTCCCTCCCCCACACACATCCGTATCATCTCAGGGGGTGACCACAGTGTTCTGCCTTAATTCGTGACATTTTTCTAAGAAATGGGTGCTATGTACTGTGCGAAATCAATCGATTTTGCAAGAATACATTTTTGGACATCCCTCTTCTAAGAATTCCAATTGAGTGTGTTAGTGTGGCCAGCTCAGGGCAATATGATATTATAAACACAGCACATATCACGTCTCTGCTGTTTATAACTTCATAGCAAAGAAAACACGCCATTCATAACAGTAGAACGAAGAAACCGCTAGCAAGAGCCACAGGAACTTTGCTGCAAGACAGGCATATGTAACGATGACTTAGCGCAGCTAAACTCGTGTCGTCGTTCTCGTTGTTCTCCTAACAACAGGCCAGCGAAAAATCTAACAATCTACAGCAAAACCATCAATTATTATGGGCGTTATAACATAGGTGTGCAGCTGGACGAAACATACACGTCGAACACCCCCCCGATGATTTTAATACCTGATGAAACATACACGTCAAACCACGCTGAACGGTTAAACAGTATATTACCATGCGCTGAAGCAGATATTTAAGCTTGTCTTTCCTCCTTGAATCGGTCTGTGTTTTCAGTTCCTCCTTAAGCTGTTGCTTTTCTTCCGCTCTAATATGACTGAGGAAGGAATATGAATGGCGAAATGCCTGAAAAGAAGAATCACAGAAGAAATTTTATAAAAACAAGATGTACATTATTTTGTATTTCATGAACAAATGCAAGCATAATATGAAACAAGCCAAAATATTAGTACTGAAATATGTCTTATATATACTATCTGACATTTCATTTCTTAGTAATATTTACATTTATACATTAGTACAAGAATTAATGTTCTACATTAGACATCTATATGAAGACTCCACTACCAAATCAGTTCTGTAAACTTAACAAAAAATGCTCTAAGACCCATGAACTTGTTCTATTTGGAACAAGGAAGAACTACCATACAGTCAGAGGAGATTAAGAAAATCAGGATAGACTAGAACTGACAGGAATACACGGATTTATTTGGTGAAAACAGATATACCATAAGAAAATTATCGGGTACCATTAAACAAACCTCATGTACATGTTTCATCACTAGAATGCAGGATAAACTGATATAAAGACAGCCAATAAAGCTTTTGAAAATATGACAAAATTGAAATATCTGGGTACAACATTAAAAAATTCAATTTCTCTCATGAAGTAAACATCGGATTAAATGTGGGGAATGCTTTCGACCATTCAGTAAAGAATCATTATTTTAATATATAAAAATCTAAAGAATAAAATGCAAGATGAATTAAAAATTAAGGGCAGTTTGTGTACAAAATCCTGGAAATTTGTCAGATGGTGCTTTTGCAGATATGCATGTTACATATGGAGAAAGTCAAGGCATGTTGTGGGGTAGCTGTTGTGTTCAGTGAAGCTCATGCAGTGATTGTAAATATGTTGACTGTGCTTTTCGAATCCACCATTGTTGAACAACATGCTGTCATTCAGATGTTACCACACTATGGGGAGGGGGAGGGACTAATATGCAGAGGAAGGAGTTCAAATGGGTTCAAAGGTTCTCAGTAACATAGCCTGGAAGTTGGACATAAGCATGGATCTGCATATATAGCCTGGAAGTTGGACATAATCATGGATCTGCATATTCCATCATCCATGACAATTTCAGGGTATAACAAAATATGTGCAAGGTGGGTGCCAAAGCAGTTTACATATGTGCACAAATGGAATGTGTGGAAATGTCCATGCAAATTTTGCAGCAATATTGTGAAGAGGCTTTTCAGCAATGAATTGTCACCGGCAGTGAAACAAGGATGCACCACTATCAACCTGCTAGCTTATGTCAATGCATGGAGTGTAAATCCAATGGGAAGTCATGTTTTAATTATCACCATGAGAAAATCATAATTCCAAAATATATAGGAGATAGCCCATTTCCTGAGCTTGTCAAACAATCAAATTTTCCAGCGCCAAGTGAGCAGAGGGAGCCACTGGAAGGGGCAGAAACAAAATGATGTCAGTTGAGGAAGTAGAGGCTCGTGCTGTGATATGGTTCCTGCATTTGCAAGGGAAGTCTGCCAGGGAGATACATGACCAGATGACTGCTCTGTATCAGGAAAGTGTACCATCATATGACAAAGTGGTCAGGTGGAAGAGGCACTTTCATTGTGGACAGATGAACCTCAAAGATGAACCCAGAAGTGGAAGACCATCTTTCACTGAGGAATTGGGAATTGTGGCACAGGTGGAAAGCTTTGATCCTATCCGATAGGCACATAACTTGAAGCTATTGTTCATGAGGTCTGCATTAACCATGGATCGGTTTTCAGCATCATCCATGATGAGTTACACATGACAAAGGTTGCTGTGCACTGGTTGCCACGATTGTTGACACCATTTCAAAAACTGCAACGGATGGATGTGGAAAAGGCAACTTTTGCAGTTGTGTGAAGATGAAAAGGTGGAATTTTTTGACTGCCTGATCACGATGGATGAATGCTGGGTCTATCATTATGACCCTGAAAGAAAGGAAATGAGCAAGCAGTGGAAATATGCAGACTCCCCGCCATCAAAGAAGGCCAAATCCCAGTCATCATCAGGAAAGGTGATGTTGAGCATGATCTGGGATTGGCAGGGTGTCATCATCAATGGCAAGTACTACCAGAACCTTCTGAGAAAATTACAGGAGGAAATCATGAAAAAGCAATGTGGAATGCTGCGACTTCTTCACGACAACGCACTGTCTCATGCTGCTCATGCTATGATGACACTTGCTGCCAGTTTGGGATATGAAATTCTCCCCCATCCACCATAGTCACCAGACCTGGAACAGAGCAACTTCTTCCTCTTTCCACGGCTAAAGCAGCCACTTTGTGGTGATTCCAAGACGGGGTCATTTCTGCATTGGAGGACTTCCTAAACAGTGAAAATGAGACCTATGATCAAGGTATCCAGCAGCTCATGCACGTTGGGGAAAATGTGTGACCTTGCAGGGGGCATATGTAGAGAAGGACCAACTCACGTACAATTTCTTGCACCTGTGTGTCTGTTTGTTCAGGGTGATAATTAAAATTTTATGACTTCCCCTTTTACATGTCATTGCCCAGGGCTAAGGAATTTTTAGGCATTCCTTCTGCTGGCAGAGTAACGTTGATGCTGTTCTGGAACATAACTGGACCAATCCTTGAGCACTATCACGATAATGGGCAAATTGTCGATAGTGCACAGTTCTGGGAAATGCTTGAAAAGGAGTTGGACCTTGCTGTTCACAGTAAATGAGGAATACTGTCAAAAAGTTTTGGATCATGACAGTGCTGTAGCACTTATGGCAAGAACAACCACTGGAAAACAGAAATTTGAACTTCTCCATCACTCGGCATGCAATCCAGATCTCATTTCATCAGACTGCCATATTTTTTGACCATTCAAAGATGTGTTACATGAATGCTGATTTGTACACAATGAAGAGATCAGGGATATGATACACACATGACTTGACATATGACAAACATTCTCTGAGGCAGCAGACCAAAGTAACAAGTATGTGGAGAAGCTTAGAGAATATGTCAAAACATGAAGGTACATTTGTTCTTGTTTACCTTTTATACACAAGAAAAATATATTGCCTTAGTTTTTTAAATTAATCCCACATGTGAGCACACACCCATAAATTTACTTGTTTTATGTGGGTATTAAACTTAGTCTCTCACCATTAAGCCTGATTCAGACTGCTCATACTGTCTGCACTGAAGCTGCTTGAAAATGACAACTTGAAAAGAATCGACTAGGGTAAACTTCATTTCATGTTTGTTTCATATGTACAGGAATGGCTGTTTTATGTACAGCTGAAACAGATTAAACTTGCACAACAACTTGGAAAAGTGTGAACTGCTACTACTCTTCAGCTGACTTTAACCTTTAAGAGATGGGCCATTTAAATTCTGGTAATGGCAGCAGGCTGGAGTTAATTTAAATGCCCGCCACTGTAGAGTATTAAAAATTGTAAGCATGTTACTGAAAATGCTGTGATTTCTACAATTTTTGTGATAAACGAATGAAATATATGCTGCTTTTATCTAGAAATAATATAGAATCAGATATTGTAATTTACCGATTTTAAAATCTGTAAAAATTGTTACACTGATTCCAAAAAGAAATTTTTCCCCAATTTCGAGCGTCTGTCCACAAATTTGCATACAGTTTCTGCAGTATAAATGTATGCTGCTGACATCCTGTCTTACTGTCTTATCTGGCAAAAGGAGTGGAAGTTTATGTTTGTATTGCACCTTCTCCAGTCACATCGGAACCCTTCTGTATGCATGAGTGTGGGCGAAGTCTTATCGCATTTTGTCCTTCAGAAACTCTGACTGTGTATATCTCAGACTAGCCACACAGAGGTGCTGTTCTAGGAATAGCCCCACACTGCCTGAACGTTCAAGCCTATCGTGTTGTGTTGTGTATAAAACATCACAATTTCAGCTATCCATCAGTTATGGACAAATAAACTATTTCTCCATCTCCTGGATCTGACAATTCTGAACAGTTTCATCCTGTTGTCATCCTCTGGTGCGAAACTGTCACACAGAGAATTTTGTCTCGCCCTTGTGCGCAACATGCTGGAACATGCTGCAAGGGGTCCACCTCGCCCTCAACGGTTCATGGGTCGACCTCCTGCTGTGTAATCAGCAATATCTCGATTAGCGAAGGCCACTCAACATCACTGGCCAACTTCCTCTAATAAGAGACTGAGGTGTCATGTGTGCTCTTCGCATGGGAAAAGGAGTTACATCTGGACAAAGTGCATGAAGTGCGATTTCCGGATGTTTCCAACAGTACCACACGAAGGCAACATTCAGTTAGATGATGCAGGAGGGAAGACTGTCTACTTATAAAGCTGGTGCCCAAAAATAATGTAAGTAGAACAAGAATTTCTATCTTAAAATTAGATTTTAAAACACTGTGCGCACGCGTGGATTGTGCGTACCCATACGGTGTCGCACCAGGAATCTTCCTGGTGGTAAAGGGCGGCCAGCACATAAAGCTGACCACCTCACTGTCAAATGTGAGCCAATCATCTAGAAAATGTGGGAATCTTGACATCTCACAACTGTATGGGCCTCCACAGCCTGTTACAGGGATAGCGTTACTTTTTATGAAGAATACAAAAGTCATGGAAGATAAGCAACAAAGACTGTACTTGAACTCAACACTGAAGGGTTGACTGCAGACTGATCTCCCCNCCCCCCCCCCCCCCAAGGAAATACAGGAAAAAATGGATTAAAACAGTCTACAGGTAGGAACTGAAGAAAATTGTGGAGATGAAGAGCGGCACAGGAAGTAATGATTTGTACAAGCACAAATTAGTTAGGTTTGAAAATGTTTACAGCTTCTTATGAACTGTAACTGCTACAAAACTGATGAAATCAGACTGCATAAGCAGCATGTCTCACTTCAATACTGGTATTTATGATGATTTTTTTTTGAACAGTAGGTATAATTTATTGTCGTTTTAACCTGGTAGGTTGGGGGTCTGCATATTGATAACAATTATCTGGCAACATATGCAGCATGAATAAAATGTAAAAGAATGCTGTAACAGGCTGTGAAGGCCCACAGGGTTGAGATGTCAAGGCTCCCACATTTTCTCTAGAAAATCAGCTCACACTTGGTGGTAAGGTTGTCAGCTGGTAAGGTTGTCAGCCTTATGCGCCCACTGCCCTTTACTCCCCAGGAAGGTTCCTGGTACTCATTTCTGTTAGAGGCTGAGTTGACCCCAGGGCCATAGTGTGGCCGGAAGGATTAGGTCAATGAAAAAAATCCAATTACCTCATCTGGACTTGAACCCATGACCTTCCAGCTTGTAGCATAGTGCTATAACTATGCTACCATGTAGGCAGCATGAATACCAAATAAAATATTATTGTTTAAAGTTATACATGGAAACTTCACACAGATTTGCATCTCGTGAGTCAGGGCAAAATTATTACAAATACAACGCTTACTTTGCACACACCATTCTTTCCAGTACATCTGCTATTTCACTGAGAGGGCATCAGTACGCTGGATTTCAAGTGATTTAGATTCTAGTGACTTGACTAGTGAGAAAGAGGAATAAAGGAAGAATATGGATTGAGGGTGATTCACGAAGTTTTACCCCCACTTAGGGAGGACATTCCTGAGGTAATTTGGAACAAAAAATGTTAATATACTAACGGTATCCAACTCATAATTAAAGAGATACAGTAATTTGAGAACTGGAGAAAAATCTTTTCTTCTAATTTCAGTCCAAACAAATTAGAAATACAATACAAACACTTTTTAAATCGTTAATGTTTTAGGAAAGAAGCATTCTAAAACCAATTTTTTTTTTAAATTTCTTCATTTTGCTTTGTGCAACATTTTTCATCGATTTTATGTTACAAAATTACATTATTTTCAGCATTCCATTCTGTAAACATACCAATGGTTGCATATCACACCCTTCTATCAATCTGTTTCCTTTAAACTGTAGTGCTTTAGACGACCACTGGATTTACATAAGATTTTCAAAAATTTCTCCCTGCACGTCAACATAACGCGTCGCAAGCGTATGAACCGCGTTCGTTCGTTCGTTCGCAGTTCCACGCGTTTTTTCCTTATTGTCATCGCCGCGTCCAGTATACGTTCAAGCAATGCTTCACGTATTTGTACCTTCACCTGGTACACAATGTCCTTCATCCAGGCCCAAATGCAATAAAATGAACAGCCCGATTAGCTGATCATATAGAACGCCACACCAGACATTGACACTGAATCGGTGTTGAAAATTCGATTCTATCGTGGCACGGGGATTATTGTCTGCCCACACATGTAAGTTGTGACTGTTGTTGACCCAGTCACATGTAAATTGTGCCTCATCACAGAACATTATCAAGCGGTACAACTGCCGATTTCCATTTAACCAATTGCAGAACTGCAGATGAACAGCACGGTCTCCTGGTTGTAGGTGTTGTACTTGTTGTAAATGATAAGGATGCAGCCCATTCTCATGAAGAGTCCTCCATACCATGGACTGAGAAACACCAAACCGCCGAGCTAGATGTCTTGTACTGGCACGAGGAATGCGCTCTACAGCATCGAGAATGGTTTCTTCTTTGCACAATTCATGTTGAGGATTTCGTTCGTATTGTATATGAACGCTGGAGAGAGAACCAGTTTGTCTTAATGTGCTGAATGTACTGGTAATGGATTAAGGATTCAGAATCCTGCGAATAGGATTACGCTGGTGATATTTGGCAGCAACAGCTCTCGCATTTCCATCACATACACCCAAAACAAACGCCATATCGGCGTATTCCTCAGTGGAAAATGTGTACAGCATCTTAACTTCAGAAAGTCACCAACCTAACATCCTGATCACTACTGGATCGCTTTACCTAAGATCGCGCAACATTCCAGCCGGTCTAACTTATCAGCTGACACAGCTGACTGGAACGCAAGGTCGCCCAGGAGGGGAGCAGAGCGCTGCATTCACAATGATGTGTTTCGAAAATCTATGATTACTCCGTAACTATTGAAAATTGACCAAAAGTTTATGAGGAAATTTTGCAGGAAATAACCACAGGAATATGTACCATAAGCCAGGGTAAAACTTCATGAATCACCCTGCAGAATGAGTTTCATACTTCATACACTACATGACATGTAAGTATACTGTGCAACTGAGATTTTCTCTTGCACAGTTTCCAGCATGGTGAGTGCCTTTCTGCCTTTCCATGCTGTATATGATATAGTCCATAATCTGCCAGTCACTTATATTGTTCTTATTTTAGTCCCTGTGAATGATCCTTGATAAGAGGAAGTAGGTTTTTACTGTATCTGATCTGACTTTGGGAGAAAAATCACTGTGAAGGCACTGCACATTTCTTTTTTCACACAAGACTGACCTCAACTGCAAATGAACTGTTGCATGGTAGACCACTGCTGACTGCTGAACACTGAACAACAATTAAACCCATCTGACTAATGCTGGTTTCAACAAAACTGACATTTTACATTTGGGCCTCTAGTGCCCATACTGTTACTTTTCTGAAGACATCATCTATGCAATTTTATTTAGGGAGATGGTCTCCACATAGCAGTGAAATTGAATCAGAATCATTAGAGCAACTTTTGAGAAAATTGCCATTTTCTGTTTTGAGGCCCACCTAGAGGGCCCCTGTTTTTGGAGATGAAACATTCATATTCACCAGGCCCCAGTCTATGATGGACAGACTCTTGAACACCAAATATGAATAAAATCCACCCAACAATTTAGGTGCTAGGAAAGCACATATCCACTCATACATATAAACAGCATACCAAACATCATTTGTTTTCTGTATTCAGGCAGCTAAATTTGTAAAGATGTCAAGACTGATTTTCTTCACTATCACAATACTTTTTCAGTATGTAGGTTCTCATAACGAGTAATTCGCATAACGAGCAAAACAAATTGTAAGAAAATGACTCACTTAACAAGCGATGTTTCGCATAACGAGTGACGAGAGGGGAAGTCCCAGATTGTGCGCTTGCTACATCAGTCTGTCTTTAGCACTCGTTCCGCTAGCATCTTAGTGTCGCTTGTGATCACACATTTTTCCAAACTTGTGTTCAGACATATTATTTGTGATTTTTTTTGTGCAAAGTTTAATAACCCTTGCAAAAATGTCCTCGAAGAAAAAGACAGCCATAAGGGAATAAAAATAACCATAGAAATGAAACATAAAATCACTGAAAAGCGAGAACGAGGTGTGAGCGTGGCTGATCTAGCACGCACATACAATCGGTCTACATCAACGATTTGCACGATTTTGAGTTGCATTGTGTTTCACAGCAAGAAGTTGTGGAGGAGAGTTTGTCAGAAGAGGAGGAGGAGGTAACAGCAAAGCAACAATCTTCTGGAGCAATAAGAGAAATGCTGAAAGCATGGGAAACTGTTGCATCATACATTGAGAAGCATCACCCTAATCAGGCAGTGGCTATGCACACTACAAATTTATTTAATGATAATGCTGTGTTGCATTTTCACCAAATTTTGAGGCATCAGCAAAAACAAATATCTCTAGACAGCTTTCTAGTAAAAAAGAATTAGATATGTATCATAAATAATAAACTAATTATTTCGATTTCTTTTTTGTTTTCTGCAAATCGAATTCGCATTCCAGGTTGGGTCATTCCGCATACAAGAAAAGATGAAGATGATTCATGCTCCTTAACAATGTATATATACTTTTCTTTGAATAAACGTTATACATACAATTTTTTGAGTATTTTTTTTGGCATGGAACGCATTATCATATTTTACATTAATTTATATGGGAAAAATTGTTTCACTTAATGAGTGTTTCGCATTACGAGTAAGATTCTGGAACGAATTATGCTTGTTAAGTGAGGTTCCACTGTATTGGCTGAAGTGAACAGGACTAAGGAGTTTCAGGACATTTTTTGCAATTTGGAAAGGGCAAGACAGGCAGAACATGTAGTTTAGCATACATGGAAGAGGGAAACTTAGGTATAAATGGGGAGATAATGTTAAAATGGATCTTAAAGGAACAGGGTGTGAAGAAATGGACTGGATTCAAATGGCCCATTATGGGCTACACCTTCCAACCATATTTGGGTAGTGCATAAACACAAGATTATCGCTGTTATGGAATAATGTGCAATTAAGAGAGTATTACAAACATAATGGTAGCACCTTTTCATTGAATGATCCACAGAGACTGTCAAATCTTGGGTCACGTGGAGCTGTCTTTCTTGAAGAAACAGCCAGATTCTCTATGCACACTTGTTTTGAAGACATCTCACGAGGTCTGTAACAAATTCAAGATCAGAAAATGCTCAGATGTATGAGATATGAAATTTTTGTGGTGGTGTGTATAAAGGGTACTGTCTTCTGAGAGATGACACAGCTAGTCTGGTAGACAGGAACCATTTTAGAGAACTTGTTGCTTCCATCTTCAGGAAAGAAGAGTAAGTCATGCTGTCAAAAACTGGTAAAGATATACCAGGACCAAGACTGGGGCTTGGGCCGCCCCATAGCTCAAGCAGTTAGTCACTGGCTCCCCACTGCAGCAGCCTGGGTTCACTTGGTCCTGGGTCTGGTCAAGTGGGATTTGTGGTGAACAAAGTGGCGCTGGGGCAGGTTTTCTCCGAGTACTTCAGTTTCCCCTGGCAAGCTTCATTTCACCAAATTCTCCATTATCATAATCACCTGGGGCAGGCTAAAATAGGCCAATCAGCTGCCGAGTGGACCCAGCTGGACTCCACCCCCCACTAAGCGAAAAAGACTGGGGCTGTGAGCAAACAATTAGGAACCACTGGCTATGATACAGGCTGTTATGTAAGAGCAGACGCATAGAAGAACAAGTGGAGCATGAGAGGAAGGAATATGGGAAATCTAAGTGATCAGAGCAAGGGAGCAAGCTCATCAGGCCTTATGACCTGTGATGACCTCACAGTCCTGCCAGCTGACAAGGGAAATATGACATGCACCTCAATACCATACTCAAAGCAAGACTGCTCTCTTTGAGGACATCGCATGCATCAAACTGGCCATGGTCCCCACAGTCTAACAGGGGACTAACAATGGCAACGACATGATTCAAGACTTCCTAGGCTGTTTAGGCCTCTGAAAATATATAAGGAAGGGTTTCCCTTTGGCCCTTCACAGGCATACCTGTTTAAACACGGAAGGCCTGTTTGAGGCATGTCTAGGGAACTCTGAGGAATTCATGCACACTCTGCACTCTCTCTGGGTTAGACCTCAATATGTGTCGGTTTTGAAGTTATCTTGCTTTTTACCAGTGCTATGATTAGGAAGGCCTTGAACCTCTTGATCTGACGCTTTTATGGGACATCTTATGAGTCTGTTGCCACATACCAACTTCTTCTCTCTTGTTTCAGTCGCCAGTTCTATGAAGAGACTGAGCTGCTATGGATTTGTCACCATCAACTGTGACTACATATTTCTTCATGGATTACTCTGAAAATGTACCATTGAACAGGGCAACACTTGAGCCCTTTGCTGTCTGGCTTCATGGGTTGGAGAAGCTGAGAGGTTTTCCAAACCAGCTGAATGGTATCCATCAGAATATCTAATTAACAATAAATACAGAAAATGCTCGCCACGTTCCTGTCCTTGACTCTGACATATAACAGGAAACTAATAGTTCCCTGGGTTACATAGTATATTGGAAATCTACCAATATTAACCTCTATCTGAACTCCAGCTTCCACCTCTACCACCACCCATCCACTAACAACTACCATGGTGCATAAGGCACCAGTTCCTCCCTATAGCTCACTGTCAGATTTATTTATCTGTATTTCTCTTATTTTATCTGTTTATTTTCTCTTTCATCCACATTACTTCCTCCTATACTTTAGGTTCTTCTTCCTTGCGCCTGCTGTTACAAACAGCCCTTCCCAGGACCCTGATCTCTCTGTTCTGTCTTTTCCTCACTTCCTCATGGCTGTATCTCACTTTTTTAGTTTATCTTAAGATCTATATTTTCTTTATTATTTTTCTTTTTCTTCTCTTCTACTCACATTCATACCTTCCACACTCCAGTTTTCCTCCATTGCACCTGCTCTTCACATCCTTAAGCAGGGCCAATGGTTCTCTTTGGTTTACTCACAGTCCTAGGTCTGGTCTTCTCTCCTCTGTATCTAAACCAGGCATGTCCCTTGTGACTTACTCATCTACCATGAACATGGAGAGAGTAGATTCCTCTGAAATGTACCTATCTATGAACCGTGTATGGTTGAATCCCAAAGATTTCAATCTTGATGTTTTAAATATGTTGGGTATAAATGCATTCTGCAACACAATTAAAGCCTATGTTTATTATTAGTGACATTTCTCTCTGTAAGCTTTTCTGCAGAGCTATACAGTTGCAGTGGTTTGTTTCTATGTTTATATAACACACTTTCAACTGCATATGTTATATAGTGTCAAATTCCATTGTGACTCTGAAAGATGCAAAAGGAAACAGTCACTACCTATACTACAGTACCATCCTGCTAGTTGGCCAGAAGAACTGAAGAAAACCATGCCAAACCACAATCAGAACAGCCAATATTCAGCAAACCTGGGACAACCTTAAAAAGTTCTATTGTGTTCCTCTTCCCTGCACTGTTACTTGAAGGCATTATTCACAATAAAACTAAGATTAAATGATATGTGAATATATCTGTGCTATATTGTGTTGGTGTGAACCATGAATCCCATGTGCCATTACATACTGGTGGAGCCAGTTGCACAGTTAAAAATTTCCAGGTCACAATCCCAAGACGGATTCCGATAATTATTTCAGTCATTCAAAAATGACTGACACTCACTCCATAGCTCTGGAAATGTAGCAGTGTCAAATGCGAGGTGTATGGGGGAAGACATACTACAGTGCCGCCTATAGCCACAAGATGACGTTGCTACTGCGCACAGGTCGAACAGTGCTGCGCAATCCATGGTGGTGTGCAGGTGCAGTCGTGGACAATGCTCAGAGAATCACAGGCAGCAGTGGACTGTGGTTTTTCTGATGGGGAGGGGTGGCTCCTTCACACATTCACACGAGGTTAGCAGCCATATGTGGGGATGCAACACCAAGTCGCAGAACTGTGTTTTGCTAGATAGCAGAGTTCAGATATGGCAAGGACTGTGCATAAAAAGGCAAAAGCAGTGGGCATCCAGCAACAGCAGGCACACCAGACAGTACCCAGCGCGTGTCCAACTTCATACTAGAGAACAGGTGCATCACTTTTGATGAACTAGAGAGCGCAACAGGTTTGTCACGTGGAACACTGCACACTATCATCCATCAGGACTTGAAGGTGAAAAAGGTCTGTGCTCAATGGGTGCCCCATTCTCTCACCATTGCGCAGAAGCAGAAGCGTGTGGAGACATGCCAACAGTTGCTGCAGCTGTATAGAGTGGATCCGGCGGAGTTCTTTGAGTGTCTAGTCACCGTTGTCAAGTCATGGTTCTGACACGAGACTCCAGAAAAGAAACGTCAGTCCATGGAGTGGAAGCGTGCTGGGAGCCCTCCTCCCAAGTAGTCACGACCGTAACTATTTGTCCAGAAGCAAATGGTGACTGTGTTCTGGGATCATGAGAGGATCCTTCTGTTGGACTGGCTGCCGCCCCAATATGACCATCGACAGTAATCGGTACTGCAATTCACTGCGCCAACTCCCCCGACACATTCAGCAATGCTGCCATGGAAAATGGGGGTGTGGCATTCTTCTCCAACATGACAACGTGCAGTCACATAGCAGTCAGCAGACTATTGCCACCCTGGGTGCTCTAGGGTACACCGTGCTGCTTCATCCGCCATACTCACTCAATCTTGCCCCTAGTGACTACGCTCTATTCTATGCAATGAAAGACGTCATGTGGGATAAGACATTCACCTCCAATGACGAGCTTCAGGCAGTTGTATATCAGTGACACCAGGATACCCCCAAAGAACGGTTTGCTGTGCAAAATGGAAACTGCCAGAATGATGGCAAAGGGGCACATACGTTGGCGGGGAATACCTCTAATATAATCTGTACGTATTTTGTTCCAATGGTTACTGTGAAGAAAAATCATTTAGTGTCAATCATTCTTGAATGCCCCTAGTACATTAAGTCTGTTGTGCATTGCGAATGTTAGCTTATCTGCTCTAGATAGACTTGAAAGCTTTCTGACGATGGTGTCCAGTGATTGAGACTAGCTCTTTCTAACAGGCCCAACTGAGTAGGTTTATCCTTCCCTACCCACCTGAAGACGGAGACAGATCCAGTCTCCAAAATGTCGTGGTCTTTTGTCTTTTACATACAAGACGATGGCTGAAGTCCAAAATAAGCCAAAGGAAGTTATCTGCTCTAGTTTTAATAGCAACAAGATTGTAAAGGGTGTACTTTATAATGCAGTACACTAAATTACCAACAGCTTTCTCTGAGGTTTACTAATCCTACTTAAAAATGGGAATAATAAAATGCAGCAGTGGAAGCCTCCCATATCAGATTTCAGCAAAATCTGTAGATTTATGGGACAAACAGGAAATTTCGTGCATGGCCTTCAACAAAATCTATGAAAACAGTTTATGGAATACATAGAGAAGTCCATTTATGGTCTTACACAGGGTGTCCCAGGAGGAATGTGCCAAACTTCGGGAGGGTGTTCCTTATGTTAAAGTATGCCGATATAACCCAAAACACCTATGTCCAAAGTTGAACGGTTACAGAGATAATGGTCCGAGAAAAGTGTGGTCTTCTGGTGGGTCCACACACTATACCTGTCAGCTGAGACGTCTTATCTATGTTTGTCCTTGAGTGTGGTGATTCACACTAGCTGTAAGCTCCCTTCAGTATACGTTGTGGGCGCGTTTTGAATGGGTGGTAGGTTAATTGTGCGGAGTTGCTGAAATGCCTTTTGTATTTTCAAACGTGGAATATTGTGATATGCATTTTGTGTGTGGATTTTGTGGTGGCAATGCACGTGCTGCTGTTGAAGAATACCAAAGGCGTTTTCACGATCGAAGGATTACATGTCGAAGTGTATTTACGCGAATTCACCAGACATTGCGTGATACTGGTTCTCTTCTGAGTGTTTCTGTGCACTCTGAAAGGGAGGATGTACAAATGATAAACACACGAGAGAACGTTCTTGAGATAGTTCAGAGAAGTCCGCGTCTGTCCACTCGTAGAGGCCTCTCGCATCAGCGTATCACGTATGCAGGTGTGGCAAACTTTACATGATGAAGAGTTGTATTCTTACCATCATCAAAGGGTACAACATCTGGAACCAGGCGACCATGTCAGGGTATGGATTTGTGCCACTGGATAAAAAGCTCATCCCGAACTGTTAAGCATCATTTTATTCAGTGATGAGGCGTCTTTTACCCGGGACGGTGTAAATAATTTACGAAATGTGCATACATGGTCCCATAATAATCCACATGAGATAATGGAAACGAAATTCCAAAAGAAATTTTCCGTGAATGTATGTTTAGTATAGTTATGTAGTCGGATTATACCAGAATGCGCAGCCAGCCATGTTATGTCAGCGCTTGCCAGTCATGTGTCATGTATAGTGCTTGGAAACCTAAGGACAATTATGACATGGCGAGCGAGTATTTTGTACTTCAGTTTTATGGCTTCATGTCACTCACAAGTTAGTTTGATGTTATGTACATTATTAACATTACAGAAACCACATATTCCTGCCAGTTTTAATATGTATTTTGTAATCAACAAGTGTGTAACACAGGTCAAAGTTTCACACTTCTCTGGCCATTATCTCCGTAACCGTTCAACTTTGGACATAGGTGTTTTGGGTTATATCAGCATACTTTAACATAAGGAACACCCTCCCGAAGTTTGGCACATTCCTCCTGGGACACCCTGTATAAACTAGGCTTTATTACAGATCAACATGGCTGAAAATTTTAATTGCCTAACAGCGTTTTAATGGAAGTCTCCCATATTGAATTGCAACAAAATCTGTGAAACAGTTTATGGAATATGTGGAGAAGTCCATTTATGGTCTTCTGTTAGCTATACTAGACAAGACTGATTATCAGTTATGAAAGTTGGTTAAGAGTTTGACACAGCAAAATATGTTGTATTATAACAGCAGCAACACCAACACCAACAGCACGGGCAATGCCAACGGCACCTCTAATGGTGGCGGCAGTAACAGCAACAACTTCCATGAAGAATTAAGTTCATTGCTCATAAGCAATATTAGACATGAATGTCTGTAAAATGCAAATAACACAATTAAGTCACTGCAAATCTGCCAATTTTGCAGGCATGTTGCACCATCACATGCTTCGGCCTTAAGCTGATGTTATCATCAAGTGATATGTTCTCAACAGACCCCTGACAATAGTTATAACAGGTAGCTAAACTGTGTCATGGTTATGACAGACTCAATGACCTTTATAACTGAATTATAACAGTAAAATAACAGCATGGCTGATCTTTTAAAATGGAAGAGGATATAACTGGTAAATACTAATCCACCCAAAGAATTCCGTGCCAGGAATTTTGGATCACTGGTGGCATTGTGCTTTAGGGGATCATATATTCAGTTCCCATCAGGGTTTGGCACAGATTTACCTATGCAAATACTAAAGCACTACCATACCAAAGCTAAGGAAATGCGAACAAAATGTAAAAACTTCTCGAAGACTTTAAGCCCACATTAAATTCTAGATCCCTGAGGTTCTGAAGAAAAAAAATACAAGAAAAGCTGCTAAAAACACAAGAACAATGGTATGGACTGTTTATATATTGTGGCATGCCCACTAAAAACCAGAAGAGACATTCATTACTAGGTTATGGCACAGTAAATGTCACATAAGCATGGCAACACTTATTAAAGCAATAAAAGAACTGCTGAAAAGTGGCATTTTCCGTGCAGTCAGCCCTGGCAGCTGCAAGAAATGGTGTTTTCTATTGCATTGTGTTCCTGAGGCTATATCATGAGGATGAACAGGACAGAAGAACCAGTCTTGAGAGAGTCTGCTGTGAGACAACTGCCCCTGGTGGAGGAGCCCCCACTGTTGTAAGCCATTGAGTAGCAGCACCAAGTGAGTTGTGAGATACGCGCCATCCAAGACAGGAACACAAAAGCTGAGGGAGCTATGAAGTTGGAAACCATTATCAGACAACTGGTCAAGACACAGCAGACTGAGAAAGCTTAGTGCATGCTGTAGTGAACTGTAGAGTGTGTGAACCTGCATTAGCACAGAGTTACCTGTAGTTACAATCTGTAAGTGTTCAATAAATCTGATTACCAATCCAAACCCTGTCTATAGTCACTCAAATGCATGACAATAGGAATGACAACAGAATTCCCACACACACTTACAGAAGGAAAGCAAATTAGGCTCTGTCACAAAATGACCCACTCTGATGGCCATCCACTTTGCAGTTACTTCCATCTCAGAAACTGATTCCTTTACCCTACTGGGTCGTCAGAGGTCAGGAAATCTAGGATCATAACTGGAGGCATCTACCGAGAAGTACTACAAATACATATTTCCTTTCTCTTACAATCTCGCTTGTGTTTCAGTTTAATATATGAACATACTATCTCACCTATTTTTATTTTCTCTTTTAAAATCTGTTTTCTTCATCTGACTTGTCCCAAACATTGCTTCATTATAAACTTTAGAACCCAGCTGTTCTTTCAGTTTCTGCAACTCCTCAAAGCTCATTCTGGACAATTCTTCACGAATAGCAGTCTGGAATAACAACAAAAAATAATCAGTTAACATGTGTATCTCCTTGGATGGGAACTGTAATTTCCTGCATCATCATCAAAACTGTCAATTACAGAACCCATCCTGCCTACATTGTCACATATTCCCAACACCACTTTTCTCTTTCCACACAAAAACTTCAAAATTTGCTGGTCTCAAAACAAATCCTCTGTAGAAGCTGTGCTTGCAAGTGAATAACCTGTCTGAATTTTATTACAGAATAATATACGGGAATAGTTAAGTGTCACATCTTTAAAACTATCAATAACTGAATCACTGTAGATGTGACTGGAAATGAAGAATTATATTGTAATTTAATATGTTATCATGCAATAATTTTACAAGTTTGGTCAACAGCTATGTTACAACTAATACTCAGCACTGTGCTGAAGTTCTTGCAAACAATTATTAGATTGCTTGTCACATTTTCACAATTCAAGTTTACAAAGAGTAAATCCCAAATCAACTGAAAAATGATCTTGAGTGTAGTGTGCAACATATACAGGAGGTGAACAAAATAATGGAAACACTAAGAAAATGTGGAACAGAATTTGTATTGGTTACACTGAAATAACTTGAGCTGGCAACACTGAATGTTCTTCCATTTGTTTACACTCTGTAGTGCTTGTGTAAGTGCATTTGTGATTGTGTTGAGTGAGTCTGTGTGAAAGAACTGGAAAATAGGAAATGTGTCTGATTTTGAAAGAGGGCAGATCACTGGTGCATGTTTAGCTGGAGCATTTGTAACAAAAACTGCCACAATATTAAGTGTACTGAGACAGTTTATAAGTTTATGTAGGCATGTATGAATTATGGGAAGATAACATCAGCAAAGGGGTACAGTGGGCAAAAATCAACATTGACAGAAAGAGATCACTGTACACTGAGAAGTATTGTTTTGAAAAATGACAGAACTTCTGCAGCACAAGTCACTGCAGAACTGAAAATTAATCCTGAAGACCCTTTTTCCAAAAAACTGTCCAATGTGAGCTTCACAAATCCAACATCCACAGTGGGACTGCAATTGATAAACCTTTGATTACTGAAAGTAATGCTCAGATTTGTAAACAGCGGTGTCACAACCATAAAACCTGGACACTGGACAACTGGAAACATGCACATGATATGGTCAGATGAGTCATCCTTCACACTGTTCCATACATGATGAACAGTTTATGTTTGGAAGGCATACAAGAAGCCTACAATCTGGAATACCTGGTTCCAACAGTGAAACATTGGGGAGGTTCTGTGATGATTTGCGCAGCAATATCATTGTATTCTGCTGGTTCCATTATTACCATTCATGGCTGAATTACTGCAAGGGAGCATGTACGCAGGTTGAGTAATCATGTGCACTCCATGATTTCTGAACAACAATACTGTTTTCCAAGATGACAGTGCCCATGTTCACACAGTTGAAACTGTTCAGTCATGGTTTGCAGAGCATGAAGGTGAACTTCAACATGTACCCTGGCCAGCACAACTGCCAGATCTGAACATCACTTTGGTCAGCTCTAGAGACTGGAATGAGGTAAAGAAGAATGGTATAAAATTCAGCTAGAGAGTGTTGATACCTTGTATGAGTCCATTTCAAGCATCACAGCTATACTGAATGCAAAACGTGGTGCAACACAACATTAATAAAGAAATCTGTATAGTATCTGTAGTGTTTCCATTATTTTGTTCAACCCTTGTATGTACAGTGTAAGAAATGTTCACAGTTGGTATTGCTTGCCAATATAACTAAATTAACATAACAATATCATTAGCACAGTATCTCTCAGGAAGAACAGCTTATGTGCAATTAAATATAAAAGTGTGCACAAACTAAAGAATGACTGGATTACACAGGGGATAAAAATATCATGTAAACATAAGAGGACTTTATATGTCAACAGTAGGAACAATAATAATCCAAATATAAGAGTATTTTATGTTAAGTATTGTAAAATTCTTAGAAATGTTATAAAAGAAGCTAAAAAGCAGCATTATAGAAGACTTATAGCTAAGTCAGATAATAAAATAAAAATGACATGGAACATAATTAAAAGGGAGACAGGAAAAATGCATTTAACTGATCAGATGCCATCTCTTCTGGCAAAATCTGAGAAAGCAAAGGATCTAGAAATAGTTGCCAACGACTTCAATAAATTTTTTCTAACAGTTGCTGAGACCTTAAATTTACATCAGATGGGAAATGAAAATGCTTTCTCATTTTTAAAAGATGCATTTCCCATAAATTTTCCTAGTATTAAAATCATTCCAACCAGTGAAGCTGAGATAAAGAATATTATACACACCATGAAAACAAAGAACTCATCAGGATTTGATGAAGTAACAAGCAAAATTCTGAAAGCTTGCTCTGATTTAATTAGTTGCCCTTTAACTCACATTTGTAATCACTCATTATACACAGGCATTTTCCCAGACCGTCTAAAAATTTCAATAGTAAAACCAGTGTTCAAAAAAGGAGATAAGTACAGTATGACGAACTATAGGCCGATTTCATTATTATCTACTTTTTCTAAGATACTTGAAAAGGTCATGTACAGCAGGATAAATCAGCATATGCATTGTAACAACATATTGGTCCCAGAACAGTATGGCTTTAGGAAGGGTGTATCCACTGAAGATGCAGCATTCAAGCTAACAGACAATGTTTTAAAATCAATTGACCAAAAAAGGCATGTAGGAGGAATTTTCTGTGATCTGGCAAAGGCTTTTGACTGTGTAAATCATGAAATTTTGTTAAGTAAGCTGCAATTTTATGGCATTCGAGGAACAGTGTTAAAATGGTTCAAATCCTATCTAACAAATAGAAAACAAAAGGTTGAGATAAAATCACCCAAATATACTCAAAATTTTTTCTCAAACTGGAGAACAGTAAAGCATGGAGTTCCCCAAGGATCTGTCCTGGGACCCTTGCTTTTCATAATATATATAAATGACCTTCCACCAACAATAAATTTTTCATCAGAACCCATAATATTTGCTGATGATACAAGTGTTATAATCTCTAGTAAAATGTTTGATGATTTCTGTGCAATATCAAACAGAGTACTCTCCCACATGAATAAATGGTTCAATGCTAACAGACTTGCCCTAAATTTAAACAAAACAAATGTAATGAAATTTACAACAAATAATGCCCCTCCCTATGTTTTAAATATTGGATATAATGGAAAATATATAGAAGAGACAGTAAATACGAAATTCCTTGGCTTGCAAATTGATAGCCACCTAAGTTGGTCGAACCATATAGATAAATTGATCCCTAAGTTAAGTGGAGCATGCTACGCAGTTAGAAGCATGTTTCATGTCAGCAATACTGAGACTCTCAAATTGATTTATTTTGCCTATTTTCATTCTGTAATGAAGTACGGAATAATTTTTTGGGGTAACTCATCTTACAGCCAGAAGATATTCATCTTACAAAAGAAAATTGTTAGAATAATGGCTGGTGTTAAACCAAGAGAATCATGTAAAAATATCTTCAAGAGGCTAGAGATCTTAACTCTCCCATGTGGATACATATTCTCCTTAATGATCTCCATTGTAAAAAACCAAGATTTTTTTCCAACCAATTCTACAATACACAATGTCAACACAAGGAATAAAAATCAGCTTCACAGACCAGTTGCCAGCCTCTCTTGTTTCCAGAAGAGTGCATATTATACTGGCATTAAAATCTTCAACAATCTACCACCAAATATCACAACTCTTATAGATAAACAGGGACAATTTAAAGTAGCACTAAAGAGATACTTAATTACACACTCCTTTTACTCTGTTGAGGAATTTATGCTTCCAAACAACATAAAGT